ATGACATGATACTTCTTGGATTACAAGTTAAACCAAATAAAAACAACGATGCTTGTCATGCAACATTATTAGAACGTGTTCTTCAAATCTAATAACATTGTTGTAACCGATACATTGGAGCCATTTCGCCTTAATGTAACATTCAATCAACAATGATGATAGTTTTTTATCACGCACCTCTATTGGCAAAGCTTCAAATTAAATCACGTCGCAGAGTGAAATGTAAGCGAAGACTTTCACATTATCTCCAAGCTGTTTTACAATATTAATCTGACTATTTCCCGTTTCGCTGCGAGCGAGCCCTTGGCGGCGGCACGCTCTAGTTCCCAAACTGAAATGTTAAAAAGAGCAAGTCTTTTGGAACGGGAACAAACCGGTCAAATGCGAATCAGCTCACGTGGTCCACATTCCTAACCAATGTAATTATTTGGGATACCGGCCGCTGAAAACATTAAATATTTGGTTTTACTAACTGTTGATGTAACTTGGCGGTCGTAATTGGGTTGTAGGGTCATTATTATTATACATAGATGTTCGGATCATGTCAGTGCCGCATTCAGTTGCCATTTCCATTTCTAAGTACTTCCAAACAATCAGTGTTAGTGAATGGACTGGCTCACCTCTAGTCAAGTATATTGGCATTCTTCATGTCCACTAGGATTGCTTGCTGATTCGTCGCAGGCTCGTTTTTGTTTTAGCCTTTTCAAGTCACAGGTCCCATTAATGTGCTAGCCACATGGCACATTGCTCAATTATCGTGACGAACGCAAGAAAACAGAGCACGTTAAAAGCGAACATTAAGCTATTAACGAAGTAACAGTTAATTGGTGACACACACCTATTGAGTCCACGCTACGTCGCTGATACGACGTTTTTGTAAGACCAAAGCATTGAGCAAGACCTCTTTCAAAGGCTCTGCCTTTGAAAGAGGAAGCGACGAAATATTTCGATTCCGATACTAAATTGATTGCTACCTGTTATCTCCACTTCCTTTGTGCAACCTGTTGCCAGTTACAATGCATGTGTTGATTAGGCATTTATAACGTTCCGAGTATGGAAAAGCAAGGATGCCTTAAGGCGTTACAATCAAGGGCAAGTTACAAATTAGAACACAATATGCGTCACGCTAGATTTTAATTTTCCCACACTAATACGTACAAAACCAGTGGCTGGGAGATTTACGTCAGAATTATACGGAGAACCGAAAATACAACGTAATACCTAGTGTCACGGTTGTGTGATGTGATTACATTACAAATTATTCAATTCGTTCATTACAACGTCTAGCAAGTTTACACGATAATTTCATGAAGGTCGTTATGCAAACTCGGAATGTTTCGTAGGCGCAGCTATGAACTGGCGCCCTTGGCGTAAGATTATGTCATCATAAAATATCTCGTCTCGTCTCCAAAGTCAGGTGTCGCCAATATGGAGATTTGAATTTTATTGCAGTTTAAGTATTGAACGGTGGCACGTCACGCAACGGTTTCGGCAGCTACCTAGTTGTTCCCGTCACGAATTTCTGATTGGTCAATGTTCAGTTTTGCACGCTAAATTCGTGCACTAGTCTCGATTATTTTTATTGCTAATATATTAAAATTTGTGTACACTTTCACAGTATATTACTTAAACTTTAAAACAGTGAATTGCACTATTTTATTTACAACGATTGAGACTTCCGCGTCCTTATCTTGTATGGCAGAACTGATAATTGGTTACATAATTAATATTGTTGATCTTGTAAATTAAATAGAATCAATATCAACACAATAAATTTACATAGTAAATAGACAATACAATAGCTTTGCGAGTCTGTCTGTTTGTCCTTCCTCGTGTATGTATATTTTATTAGGAGCAAACGTGATCACAACACAATTTTATATATACGTATTTATAATAACGTTTTATGATAAGTTAATTCTTCAGGCCTTTCCCAAGTGGGTCGGGGTCGGTACTGAACCTACTGGATACGGTTGAATATAATAACTGGAAGACGACAAAACATTCTTGGTATGATTCGTCATGGTTTTGTGGTTAACCGGAAGATACGGTTTTATTTGTTCAACAAAATAGCTCTAGAAAATATTTGCCGTAGATACACAGAGCACAAAAACCTAGCTTTTAGGATCTTCGGAAACTCTACTTTGCGATACAATCACACACAAATTAAGATAGAAAAACCAAAACATTAGAACAATAATCTGATGCACCAACGCCCAAGGTTATCAGACAAGATATGAATGAATTAGATACGATAAACTATACATTATCTACAATGCTGGCACGAAAATGTGATAATGTAACGATAAATATTTATATCAATACGATACGACTAACAATATTACTTTTAGTCTGAGTAAAAACAAAGCAATGTCATATTCAGTAGTAATGCATTTTTCTAATAAGACTATTATGATTGATTACTTCGTACTTTGTCCCTAACGACAAATAATGCTTAGGTGGGATTATTTAACAATGGCTTCTTATTAGATTCTAAATACTTTCGTACTTGGGAGGAAACAATAGAGATTTTTTTTCTTTTATAATATATTCTGATTTATTTCGTTGCGGGAACTAAGACAGTTATTAGGTCCCTGGCACGCGCTGGACTTCAGTGTTCCCGTGTTTTCAGTTGTATCTACTGTAGATCCTGGCTTACAAGAGTTGCAGTGGTTTTGGGAAGTTTTGGCTGGCTTGTAACATTTTCAAAAAAGTAGCCCGCCCCTGCTCTGCACGGGTGCAATATGCATTATTGTACATGTAAACCTTCCTTGAGAATCACTCTATCTATTAAAAAAACCGCATCAAAATCCATTGCGTAGTTTTAAAGTTCTAAGCATACATAGGGACAGACAGACGGCGGATAGTGACTTTATTTTATACTATGTAGTGATGATACACTCAAAATCTATGCTTCCATAAAAACCTAATTTAGTTTTAGACGTTTTCCAATATAGTAAAGTAATACGGAAAATTCTTATGCTGTTTATTCTAATAACACGTCTAAAGTCATTCGATTTGAAATTCAGTGTTTCCCATAGTGATTCGGTTGAATTATTGTATCAAATTAAACGATTAATTAAAACAAATCGATTAAAAACTTAATTACGATATAATGCAACCGAAACGTCGATGTTTTATAATTTGAAAAATAGTAAAATGTAGGCCAGGGAACAGGTTTTATGATTATTATCTGAACGATTATCGTCGGCGTACAAACCACGGCCATTTTTGGCAAAAAACTTTCACTCAGTTGTGATAAAAATTTACATTGTTTTATACGCCCAAAGCTTTAGAAACTATTGGTATCCAAATGTAACTTGATGTTGGTTAACATACTTTAAACATTACACCTGTTATTTGGAAGAGATAAGCAGAAGTTACATAAAGTAAATAGATACCTAATCGCACTAATGGCAGATTATATCATTATTCTCAATTTCGTAATAAGTTTAGATAGGGAGATTTAAAACCAATTATCACTAAAAATTCGAGGAAATATACTCTTGAATAACAAACTCCTGGGTTCGGAGAATAGTCAAGTAAATATTATTGTTGAAAATTTAGCATTCAGCTTAAAATTACAACACAATAAAGCAAAGTAATAAATAGAAGTTTTAATTAAATGTGGCAATTTTAATCAGTCTTCCTGTTTATATGATAATGTGGTTAAATATTGGAACAACTTGATACTGTTTGAGCAGTGTGTAATTTACAACCGAGGCTTACTACGACAAAACATTTAAAGATCCGTTTCTCTTGTAACTTTGCACTAAACTGACACATCTTTAAAATGGATAAATTGACATATTTTGGGACATTACTGCCATAGTTACGCTTAATAATCAACCAGCAAAACATGAATATTTTACCCGCTAAGTATTTTCCATGGAGCAAGTTGTATCTAATCTGGCTTATAAGATACATTTTATAACATAACTTAATAATTTATCTCATGGATATCTTGCAAGAAGCTACTAATAAGAAACTTAGATTCAAAAAAAGAAAAATTGCTTCTTTTTTCCCATAATTGCAACATTAGTATAGAAAAAAACCTACATAAAATTGCCATCTATTATAGATATAAAAAGTGTAGAAGCATTTGAGCTTGGAATTTAATCACATAATTGTTGCATTGTCTATGTTCTAACTACTTATAATATGACTCATAGACAATGTGCTTGAGTATGATCCATCTTTTGTATATGAAGTTTTAAAAACTTGAGATTTGAATCATTACATGCAAAATATATGTAAACACTTAAAAAGGGGGAATAATTAGAACTACATACTTCAAAATAGTATGTGTATTATGTTTGTTTAATTAAGTGTCATCAAAAACAGTTTTGTTTGTTTTTAAGGTTTAAAATCGTTTTTGTAAGTTATGGTTCATGACATTTAAATTGCAACTATGAGGAAGACAAGAAGCTTTATCAGAGAATAATTTAGGATACTCAGTACCAAGATTACTGAGCACCCATTAACCTATTCCAATTAGTTGTCTTAGTCATTGTTTCCGAGAAAAAACTAACATTAATATTTGAAGTATGAATATATAATATAAGTTAATGCAACATTAACATTAACTCAGATAAAGCTGTTGAACTCATGTAATTAGGATAACATTTCAGACTTAAAATTATGTGAACGTAAAAAATGACATAATTATGTTTAGATAAGTTCTTTTGATGATAAATTACAAAACATGTTGCTATTATATTCAACCTACAACATTTAAGATAACAGAACAAGTGCCATTTTTGAGAATAATTAGCTTATTGTTGTGTTGATAACACAAGAAATTGTGTTGATTATAAATAAATACATTTGGCACACAGGACCTAATGAGGTGATTAACTTCACAAGTAAATTAAAACCTGTTCTCATCAAGATTTAACACTAAGGTCATGACCGACACAGAATTTACACTTTAATTGGCATTAACACAATTTGCAAAAAATAAACAATAAGAAAATCTTAAACAAAACATGGGTACATACCTTGAATGAGCTGTGAACTAATGTCTCGTCGAGATCAATGACCATACACTTTTTATGCATGTCCTGGTGTTTCACTGGGGGTAATAGTGGTCGCGGGGCGGTGTGGTCCATGACCAGCAGCCCCCGCTCCTGCGGGAGCGGCGAGGCCCGGCCATCGATGCTGTTCGCGCCATTACTGCCGGGCGGACCCTTGCCTCGTCCGCCACGCCAGCAGCACAGCAGGGACCGGAGGAACCCGCCGCCACCGCTTGACTTCTTACTACCCAATGGGGCTGACCCCGACACCGGCGTAACATCCCCCTCATTATGTTGGCCGCCAGGGGATGACCCTAAAACAACCATTGCACATCAGATCACTCCAACACAGTAACTCACACACGGAAGCCCCAAAGAATATCACCAGAGGAACCGTAAGGAAAGAGAAGTGTTCAAGGTTGCCGTAAATGTTATCGCGTCCACACGATCCAATTGTTTACCTCACAGCACACGCACGCGAAACGGAACCAAAGAATTACAAAACGTTCACTAATCCACTGATCCAACATCGATCACGATTAGCAAATATTTACGAGTCGTGAGGAGGTAACACTATACGCTCTAATTTGATGCTAGTAGGTAACAGGTGTAATTCGGTTGGGATTTACCTCTGTCGGATCCATAATTGTTTAATTGCTCGTCATCCCGTGACACCTGAGTTATAATGGACGATGCGTCCATTTAAACATTTGTTTTTAGCCCTAAGACAAACGGCAACAGAGTTTTTGTAAAATTTTAACACCATAAAACTATTTTTTATCTCCCTTCTATCTTACAAAATGGCAGGCTCTTAGCAAATACCAACTTTGAATGTAGCCAACACATAAAAATTATAAAATCCTATATCTCTATCTGCCATATGTGAGTACTTCAAGACAGAAAGAAATAACAATACTTTACATTTCAAATTTCGTTATGTTACTACTTCTGTCAACCAACAGCCAAAAATAGTTTAGCTATCGTTCGAAACCTAAATAAAATTATTATTTTATTTTTTAGCAAAAGTATTCTACATTATGTCAATAGATATTTATGATAATTGGTACAAATTATAGTCAAATAACTTTCTTTACAAATTTTGAAACAAATGAAAAACTTCACACAGTGTATTTTAATCGTGTTTCAGATAGAAAGTTTTCGAACGCTTTGGCACAGGCTAAAAATGTTGAGGTGGCTTTGCCATATTTTTTCTTTTTTATACTTTGATAAGTAACATTCTTGGTCTCATCTCATATAAATAAAATATTAATAAATTAATTCTGATACGAATGCCTCTAAATAATCATTTTGTTGTCTATCTTGGTCTATCTCCTGATTATTCTATATTCCATCGTAACCCATAACCACAGACTACTTAGAGATACCACATTTATTATCTGCTGTAGTTTTCAGTGTTGCAAGTTATTTAAACAAATTCGAGAATTCAGTATAAATTTTAAATCAAGTACATTTTTTTAACGAAATAAGCAAAATGAAGAAAAAGAATTCGATTGAAAATATAACAAAATAATTTTACGATAAAAGCACATCATAAAATAGTCTCAGTCTAGCACCTAAACCCTTTTGAACATACACACAAACCTCACTCACACATACCTCCACAAAACAGATAATTTACGTAAGCATGTCGTGTAGGCACACATATTGACAATTGTATGCTACCTGCAAATAAAAACGACTACCTACGAGGTTCTCAGGTCTCTTCAAATAAGTGTTACAGTTTATCAATTATTATGCTTATCGGCTTACTCACGTAATTATTTGACGTGGAGCTCGACTAGTTTCAAGCTATGCTAGAGGCTCATATTCATGAGCAGCATTCCGCGACTCGCAATGAGTCGACTGTTTGAACCAATGAGTAAGCCGAAAAACATAAAATAATTGATTTAGCATGTCTCACGAAAGTTATAACATAGGTATAGTTTATACCGACTTTTATGTTTCATTAATTAACTAATAATAATCGTTGGCTGAGTATTCGCAAGTGCAACTGCTGGACACGGGTCGGACAATGTAAGACTGGGTTTAATAAAAAATAGTAGGTACGGATTTTGAAATTGTGCCCATACCGGGACCGGAAGTTAAGCCTATTGCTCTATACCAGAGTAATAGGCTCACCTCCATTAAATGGGACTCATAACATAAATAGTGAAAAGTTAAGATACATTACATTGTGCAGTGGCATTAAGTGCTGTAATGTGCACCTCTGCCTCCCCCCTTGAGGATAAAAGGCGTGATGGTATGTATGTGTAATTAATAACAGCAGTTCTTGGCAAGAGGCTCTTTTCCTCGTCAATTAAGATTTCCGAATTTCTTAACCTATTAATATAAGATTACTATATTCTTCTCGATTATACATTATCAATCATATCGATTATTTTACTATAATAATTTATATATTGTGCACTAGCAACACCACACTTTGCTTTCTCTTTTGAAATGAAAGAAAGATGCTCTGTCTGTGTCGACTTGTCAAAAACAGATTTGTTTAGTTTTTTCATAGAAAATCTATTACATTGGAGAAAATACCTAGTTTACTTTAACTAATGTGTGGCGAGTTGTGATTATAGGTATTAGTGATTTTAGTGTAGCAAATTGACCCCAACACTTGGTCATAATGGCGCAAAGAGATCCAGGACCCATACCGAATAGGTGGTTGAGATGTCCACGAAAAGCAACGGGACTAATTGCTGATAAATTTATGGCTTTCAAGACACCTTTGGGGTCTCAATTCAATGATAAAGTACCTGAAGAAAACCGTTTTACTCCATCCATGTTATTTATGTACATGAAAAGTATGAAAGTAAGTCGTATTCACATCCGACCATTACTGAAATATTGTTCACTTTGTGTGTATTTTATCCCAATAAATTTGCCTCTAAATAGTATCATGCATTATTATACATTACATTATAGAACATTTGTATAATTTAGTGTATAGAAAGAAGGAGATTGACCAACAAAAAGTAACAAACATTACAGCCATTGTTTATGCCAATATGAAAGTCTATTTTTAGAGAAAACGTGACAATGTGGTATTATAAGTTCCACGTCTTTTGTATTATCCAATATTTCTCATATTCTAAAATTAATTAAAACACAATTTTATGGGTATGTAAATCATAGAAGGATGTATTTTCAGATAAAGTTAGGTCTATGGATAGACCTGACTAACACCAGTCGATTTTATGACAAGAAAGAGGTTGAGGAGACTGGTTGTAAGTATGTAAAAATGCAGTGCAGAGGCCATGGTGAAACACCATCTCCAGATCAGACTAGGTAAAAAATATCAAAATATGTTAAATATATCATCTTTGTACATATTGTATTACTGTTATGCATGTGTGTGCATTGAATAACTGACAAATAAAGCAATCATAAAAATATAGAAATTATAAATAGCACCTGGATGACCAAGCTTTGCCTGGGGTTTTTTTTAGTAAACAAAATTTTCTGAAAATGAAACCTAACTAGATCAATTTATAAACCCCGAAACCCTCTAAATACAAAGGTCAAGAAATTCTTTAGCAATATTTCTGATATGGTTGATATACAAGAATTGCTTGTTTAAAGGTGTTAGATGTACTTACCATAACTGCCATGATATACATGATTGAGGCGGTGAGCCTGTTGACAATAAAATAAAATTAATATAGGTGTGTCTATACTTGAGCAGTGTTCTGTCACAGGCTGTTGATTATAATGATAGATGCATTACTGCATTCATAAATACACTAGCACAAATGCAGTAGTAAATATACAAGTAGAGAAGGAATTTCCTCTAATATTCAGAACTTCGGTAGATCTTTTAAAATTATCCATTTTGTTGCTGTCATTTTCAAGTAGGTAATTATTTATTTTTAGAAAAATAACAAAATACAAACTTAATAATATTTTTTTCAGGGAATTCATCCAATTAGTTAGCAAATTTGTGAGTCAGAAGCCGTTAGAGTTGATTGGGGTACATTGTACTCATGGCTTCAATAGGACTGGGTTCCTACTGGTTTCCTACATGGTGGAACATCTGGACTGCAGTGTGCAGGCAGCCATCATTGAGTTTGCAAGAATGAGGTATGGATCCTTTGATATTTGAGTAATCTGTCTACAAATTAGTTCTTAGGCTTTTTTTAAAGAGTAACGAATGGAGTTTCTTTCTCATTCGTTCACTCGAATCTACATTTTGGAACGAACACTTAGCTTCACTGCCGGACAGACTGACAGACTATTATTAATTTTTTATTTGTGGATGTTTCAAAAGTATTTAAATTGGCTATGGTTGACTACTATCTCCTATTACCTGGTGGTAATTGAAATAAATGCTTTAGAGTTTGAGTTTGCAAGACCTCTTATCATTCTTCAAGTCTTCCATATTGAATGTTATGTTTTTACAAAATGTTTTTCTTTTATGTAATGTTGCATACAATCTGTCCTATTTTTCTACCACACATTGCTTAGATCAAGTTTTTTGACAGAAATTCAATGGAACTAATATAAAAATTGTCATCAATTGAAATAGATTTGTTATTTATTAATGTCAACCAGTAGACAATGTTCATTATAGAACAAATCTTAATCAGACTATGATATTGTCAGTAGTAGAAAAGCTATAATAGGTAGATGACTAATTTTTATTTTAATGTCCGTCTGGTACATTGTTGTAAAACATTGGACACATATTTTTAATTTTCTCACAGAAACAAATACTTTCTACGATATATTGATTTGAAACATCGCTTGACGTCACTTCTCGAGACGTTTTAAATGTAGAAATAACGTTTTAGCAACCACTCCTAAACTTTGATTCGTTTTATCTTAGTTTTGGAACCTTATACAACAAAACAACAAAATATGTGTCTAATATTTTTTCATTATCTAACTGATGGACTAAATAGATTTTCCTACCCTGTCATCATCCCTATTGACTTCCTGATGTTAGTTTATTTCTTTGCCATGTGTAGCTGATAGATTTCCAATACATAAATATATAATGTCTTTATTAAGATTGTACAGACTAATGAGACTAATGAGTATTACTTTCAGACCCCCAGGTATATACAAACAAGACTATTTACAAGAGTTGTTCCGTCGGTATGATGAAGTGGAGTTGACTCCCGCTGCTCCCATGTTACCTGACTGGTGTCATGGTAAGTCTATTTATACCATAACCATACTATAATCTTTATCATCAGCAAGAAGACATCCACTTATGAACAAAGGTCCCTTAGGCCTTCAAATTGAATGAGATCTCGTCACTTATATCCAACTAGCTTTTCCCGCGGCTTCGCTCGCGTCACAAAAGGATAAAAAGTAACCTATGTGACATATACCAATACATACAGCGCCATCTATACCAATAATTTCGTTTTCCCTCGAGAATGTCAATTTTTTTTCCGAGATAAAAAGTACCCTATTATTTAATCCAGACTTATAACTTTACGTCTACAAAAATTTAAGGCTATCGGTTTAGTAGTTACGGCGCGAAAGTGGAACAAACAAACTCACTTTCCGATTTATAATATTAGTAAGGACTAGTAAGGATGGCTCGATGGCTCCCTGCGACTCTGACGATATCATTGTCGGAACACCTAGCAGGACGTCTGCCACTACTTGTTATTATTAACCGACTTCAAAAAAGCAGGTTCTCAGTTTTACCTGTATGTATTCATGTATGTACACGATAATCACGCAATTGGCTGAACCGATTTTGATGCGATTTCTAAAAAAAGTGTTTGTTACACTTAGGAGACAGTTAGTATTCGGACGTAAGTGAAGTAGAATGAAAACAAACTTACTGTTATTGAAATCATTTGCAAATAGTATATCAGCAACAAGGTTATATAAAACCGTAAATAAATTTTGACTTTAATGTATTATATCTTGTTTCAGAAGAAGAAGAAGAGGTCGATGATGATGTCCCAAGTCACTCACAGAATTCATCGTCATCATCCACGTATGTTCCACTTATTTTATACATTATAATATAATAAGATAATGACATATTGTCAACATCAGCCATTTGCTGTTTGTTAACCGTTGATCCACTTCAAAATAGATAAGGATTGCGTCGTAATTACTTTAAAATGTTTTGTTTGGAGGCAAATGTTTCTTATTGTAGTAGTTTTGTTTGTAATAAATTCAAGCCTAATGCATTTTGTAAGTAGCTTTCTTTCTTTGAGGTAGCTATCTGCCCAGTCTCCAAGTCTCCATTTACAAAATTATAGACCTTATTTCTGATGTTTAGAGACTATTTTTGTAGGAACAAATGTTGTGGAGTTTTCATAATAAGGGATTAAGAAGTCGACTCTAATCTATTCTAAACTGTCCCATTGCGACCGGCACTTGAAAGACAAGTACACTTTCCCATTTATAATATTACTATCGGTTAATGTTTCAAATGAGAGCTTCAAACCGGATCATTAGATCTTAAGATTGAAAATAGGATTTTGAACTCGTCAATCGTACTTTTTTCCTAACGAGGAGTGACAAATAATAATAATAATAATAAATAGTATAGAAAGAGCATATTCGTTTTTAAAAGTCCGGCAACGCATCTGTGACTCTTCTGGTAGTGCGGGTGTCGATGGGCGGTGCTGATCGCTTACCATCGAGTGATCCATCTGCTCGTTTACCTCCTATTCCATAAAAAAATATAATGCGCAAAAATATAAAAGGCATCTTTTCCTATAAAAAAGTAGTAAATGAACCGTATTATTGTCTTTCAGGCCACGCAAACACAAAGGCAAGGGGAGGAAAGAGACCACACACAAGAAGGCCAGTTTCATGCCTGGTGTCCGAGGAGTGGAGCCTTTTGACACCCAACCGAGGCTCAGTGAAGTCCAGAAGAAAGCTCAACAGTTCTGCGAGTGGGACACCACTGGGTTCCCTGGCTCACAGCCCGTGTCCATGGACACTGCTAACTTGAGGAAACTGCATGAAAAGCCTTATAGAGTATCGTGGAAGGCTGACGGAGTCAGGTATGTCACAGTTTATGTTCTTTGATGGGATGGATGTGTAGAAGTATCTATATTTCTGTCTTCTAGTTGGTATCACAAGTTACTTGGCGCAATGTTACGTATGTTATCTTTTTGTCATCACATTACCCCCATTTTAACAAATAGCTCACTCAATCACTCTAGAGAACTAGTTTTAGATTGAGTTTTAAAAGTGTTTTATTGATTAGTTAGCTTATTCAGTTTAATCCTGTTTGTCAATTTGTCTTAACTAATATCTAGCCACGGTCGGGGCTTATAATCAAGCGGCATGCGCGACAATTGAAACCGACGTCACGCAACCAATGCCTTTGAGTGTAACTTACTATATACTCCACTTTATAAAGCTGTCATATCAAAAATTATCATCAGTTGGAATAGATTTGTTATTTATTAATGTCGACAACTAGATAATGTTCGTTATAGAGCAAATCTTAATGAAGACTTTTTTATGGCATAAGCCGGTAAACGAGCAGACGGATCACCTGATAGTAAGCAATTGGCGTCGCCCATGGATACCTGGAACACCAGAGGCGTTACAAATGCGTTACCCGCCTTTTGGGGATTAGGAATTTTAGGATCTTTGGGGATTCAGGAATTGGGGAGATTGGGGAAGAGGAGCGTAATTGGGCTCCTCACTCACACGACGAAACACAACACAAGCGTTGCTTCACGTCGGTTTTCTGTGAGGCCGTGGTATCACTCCAGTCGAGCCGGCCCATTCGTGCCGAAGCATGGCTCTCCCACACTTATACTATGTTACAAGACTATATTATCATCAGTGAAAAGCTAAAGTGAAAAGAACAGAAAAATAATAGGGTAGCGGTAGATGACAAATTTTTATTTTAATGTCCGTCTTGTATATTATTGTAAAACATTGGATACATATTTTTTATTTTCTCACAGAACGACGTCACGTAACCAAATGTCTTTTGAGTGTTACTTACTACATACTCCACTTTACAAAGCAGTTTAAACTGATTATTGTTTTAAAAAACGTATTTATTATGATTTTTTCAATTACTAGATACATGATGTTGATTGACGGCGAGGGAGAAGTGTACATGTTGGACCGAGACAACTGCGTGTTCAAAGTTCATGGTCTGCAGTTCCTATACAGAAAAGATCTGAGAAGGCATTTGAGGAATACTCTACTTGATGGTGTAAGTACAACTTTTCAATAGTTAAATATACTCGAACTGTTAATGAGGGTTTTCTATTTACGAGAATGCTAAATAGACGTAACATCATCCATCCTGTACTATAAGAACCTAGTTTCTTATGCCCGAATACTGAAACGATACTCAATTTTAAGTCGCGCTTAAGTATAATTCTGTCTCTGCAAATTCTTAGTAAAATGAGAGAGATGGCCCGATCTTTAAGCACGACTTAAAATTGAGTAACGATTCAGTATTCCGGCATTAGACAGACAGTTAAATACAGTTGTGAGGATCTAAAACGTCAGAGGCGCCATCTGTTGAGCGGCAATATGAGGAACTCTGTTTTTAAAAGCAATATATATCTTTTCAGGAAATGGTAATCGACAAAGTGGACAATAAAGACATACCTCGGTACTTGTGTTACGACATTATAAGTTTCGAGGGCGTCGACACCGGCAAGATGGAGTTCTTCCCAACTAGACTGAATTACATCGAAAATGAAATCGTTAATCCTAGGTAATAATCCTGTTCTTAATAATTAAAATAGCTATTGTTCTTGTTTTTTTATAGATAGTAGAATTATAGTGTCATAGGTAAAGTCTGCAGTTCTTATGCGTAAGCGCATACCCTAAAACTTACGATAGGATTAACCTTCGTAGATGGCCTACCTAATAATTATTTCATAGTTGATGACAGACGACCTCCACATAATCACTCCTTTTATACCGGAAGGGGTAGGCAGAGGTGCCCATTACGGCACTTAATGCCACTGTACAATGTAACACTCTCTTTTCACTATTTATGATATGAGTCCCATGTAATAGGGGGTGAGCCTATTGCCATATCCCGGGCACGATCCAAACTCCGTGCTACTAGTGAGATTTTTTTTAAAACCCATTTATTACTGGGTTTTTAACCTTGCCCGACCCGGGAATCGAACCCGAGGTCCCTTGCCCGGCAGTTGCACTTGCGACCACTCGGCCAACGAGGCAGTCATGTAATTAAAAACCTTTATAAAATAGTATGATTATATTACAGGCACCAAGCAATGAAGGAAGGTATAATCAAGAAGGAGAGGGAGCCGTTCAGTGTCCGTTTGAAGCAATTCTGGGAATTACCGATGGCTCGACAGCTACTTGGCGAGAAGTTCGCCAAGACTTTGTCTCATGAACCTGACGGCCTTATATTCCAGCCTTCTAAAGAGGTTCGCATTTTATGCTATTATTTTACCGCTCTGCTCCCGTAATTAATCTGGAAATTGGGTAGTTTCCTCTGTCAAAAATAAATTATTTTGATTTTTCAGTCCATGATTCAATATTGAGAAATAGTTACACTTTCATTCATTGATTTGCCGATATACTTTATTTTCGATTTATTCTAGCATTTTTTTTAGATATAAGTGTGCTATTTGACGCGATAATGTGATGACGTCATAAGATGGTATTTCGTACAAAATTCATAGAACAGTATCGTTTTTGACGTTTCGATAAAAGTATTGAATTTGACTAGTTGTCAACTACCGTATTCAACATCCTTACTTCCTTACTAATATTATAAATCGGAAAGTGAGTTTGTTTGTCCGGAAAAATTTGATATTCCCGAGGGAAAACAAAAATATTGGTATAGATGGCGCTGTGTGTATTGTGATGTATATCACATAGGCTACTTTTAATCCTTTTGTGACGCGAGCGAAGCCGCGGGTAAAAGCTAGTTTTTTATAAACATTCACATCACACCCAGACCAGGAGCAACGATTTGTAGATCATACAAACATTAGTGCCGTGTGGGAATCGAACCATTCTGTAACTTACAACCTGTGTTGTACAGGTACCCATTCACTGCCAATCACAGCACCAATCGTGAAATCATAAGCAGCAATAGGTGCAATAAATTTTATTTTTGCAAAATTTGACCTAACCTTTATAACAATAAGGTTGGTTTTAGCAATGTATATTTTTGTATAATTTCAGAGATACATACCGGGACCTTGCGAAGACGTGCTGAAATGGAAACCAAGTAACATGAACAGTGTAGACTTCAGACTGAAAATTGTCACAGAAACTGGCCAGGGGTGAGTTATTAAACCATGTTCTACACTTATAATTACTTAGATTTTCTTTGATGTATCTCCTTTGATTATAAAATATGATCGTTATCGGCCACAAAACGCCTACTACTATTAAAGATGGGTCTCCCAACGATTTCTAGATCGGCTGTTTGGAACTGTTGCAAGTCACCTGTATCCAGTCCACTATTGCATTGTAATCGTATACTGTTATATAAAGCGGAAGAGTTTGTTTTTTTGTTTGTTTGTTTGATTGTTTGAACGCGCTAATCTCCATAACTACAAGTCTGATTTGAATAATTATTTTTGTGTTGGATAGTGCATTTATCGAGGAAGTAGCTAGTATACGAATAATTGTACTTACATAAAATTAACATAACATCATTATGGGCATTAAAGGCACGTCATGCTCTATCCACCTGTTTGCCCAGTTATGTTATAAATCCCATGTAATCGGAGGCGAGCATATAGCAAAAAGCCGGGTACCTACAATTTCAGACTTTATAGTATTATTTAGAATTTTTAGAAACTGGAAATATGACCCAATACTCTTTCTCCTCTTACGATCTCTTGACCATCACGACCATATTCGTCATCGTCCGCATAGACATCCCCCGATGACTTCCAGAGGAGACTGGTTCATCTTTTTTTTTTAAATCGTTGCCCTACACTATGTATTTCTCTTGGGTCTCCGTGGGTGCGTTTATAAACATAAAAGTACACATACACATGACACCCAAACCAGGAACAACAATCTGTGGACCACACAAAGAGTTGTTCCGTGCTGAAATCGGCCCGCGACACGTTGCGCGGTAGCCAGTTGCCCAGCCACCGCTCCAACCATGCAGTCATTTTGGCAAAGCAGGGTTGGAAACGACCTGTATATAGCTCCTGCGACCCTTTTCATATCATTTATCCACCCTGTGAGTAAACCAAATAATGTTCTTATTACAGCCTCCTACCAACAAAGATAGGTTACCTATACGTAGGTAAAATGGACCAGCCCTTTGCATCAATGAAAGTGACAAAGGACATAAAACATTTGGACAACAAAATCATTGAATGCACCTTCGAGCGGGGACGATGGGTCTTCATGAGGGAACGGACAGACAAATCTTATCCTAATAGCTACAATACAGCTACTTGTGAGTATTATTTGTTTTTATTAAGGGAATGTGCGCGTTATTTGGGAATATTTAGTTACATTTTTGAATAAACAGTTAATCTATAGCAAAATTATGAACAAATATGAACTCAATTTGTATAATAGTAAAGTAGATTTTAGAATAAATGTATGCTATTAAATATTACAAGATAGTGGATATCTTACTCGTAATTCACATTTATTAGTTTTTTTTCTAATAGTTATTCGATCAATTTACTACCCTACCTTTTAAAGATCATAAAAATGTTAAAAGTAGACCACTTTAGTCCCATCTCATTACTTATTTAATTTATGTTATTATTTTTTGCTACCATTTTCAAAATACCTACTTTTTACTGTTTTCAGCCGTCTGCGAGAGTATAAAGGACCCAGTTACCAAGGAGATCCTACTTGAATACATAGACAACCATAGGTTCCATGATGACTCAGATATGATGCCGCCTCCAAAGCGCATGCGTCGATAGCGTTGTCCATAATGTTGCCAGTTCATAAAATAATAAAGATGGCGCGATTGTTAATGTTATTTCTCTTATTTTTTAAAGTGTTGTGACCTGTGACTGAAATTTTGAAGGGAACTATGATAAATAGTTTTGTTAACACTAGTTTTTATTTCTTCTAAGTACCTACTTCCTTATTATATTATGTCTTTATGTAAAAGGAACATTAGTATCTTAAGCAGCAGCTTTGTTTTGCGTGGCACATTATTTCAAACTACTATTTATACTTATCTTGCCTTTTTTCTATATTTAATTCGAATTTCCTGTGATGCACACCGACTGATCTTTTTTATTTCTTCTCCATATTTATTTTCGACTTTATGGCTAAACAATACTGTCTAAAATCAAAAAATATCTAAGAGCTATAATTAAAAATGTTAAATTATTAAGGTAATAGGTCTTTTTTTAAGGGGGGAAAATAATCGATTGACTGCTCCCGCCTGGGTGAGGCGGGAGGGAGTGTCAGACTCTTACTGACTAAAAACCACCCCGTTCCTTCTCCTGCATCGAGCCGGAGCCCCGGTTACCCGTTAGGTTCTCCGCGACAATAGGTCTGGTATATTTTTCTGTTAATATTAATTTAGAAATAATAGTGACAATCGAACCACTACTTTATATCGTAATTTGAACTCTATTGCGTTAACAATAATTTACTTAATGTAAAATAGTATAAAAATACTGTAATAACAAGGGTACCATACTATGAAACTACATTTATTTGGGAAATCTTGTGATTTTCCGCTTTTTTGTGAAATATGGATTGTTACATTATAATAAGTTAACGTGAAATAAATATCTATAGTTAATTTATGGACAAAATTCTTTTATTTGTGAACAACACAAGTTGTATAAGAACCTAACAATATTATGTAACTCAAGAACGGCTAAAGCGATCTGGCTCCAAATTGGCGGAGAGATGTTTTAGAACTCGGAGACGGACATAGGACACTCATTATCTAAGAATTTTCCGAAAATTGTGCGGGAACGGGAATAAACCCGATTCGCGTACGAAGTCGCGGGCAGAAGTAAGTTATGTAATAAATGTAAAAGAAAGTCGTTAGTTACACTAGTTTTAACTCAACAAGGCTAATTCGATCTGGCTGAAAGTTGTTGGGGGGGAGGGGTGGGGGGCTTAGAACCTGCAAACGGACATAGGACACTTTTTATCCAATGATTTTCAGAAAATCGTAAGGTTAATATAACAAAACATAGCTTAATTAAATTTTTTATTTCATTTTTTCTTAATAATATCAAAAATTAACAGCCAACAATTGTAAAAAATACCTCTTCCAACGAATACTTAAGTATTGCCATAACAAATAATAAAAAATAAAACAATATCTATAAATTACTGTCCAAGTTCCCAGCGAATTGCCATCTGGACTCATCACTGACAGTTACGCAATTAATTTTATGTTCTTTTGTCAGTTTCTTTAAATGATGGCTGACATTATAAGCTGCCGCTGGCCATAGATGTTCTGGAGTATCCTTATAAATCATTTTAACTAAATCCATTTCATTCAGCGCCTTATCCTGATGTTTCTTTAGTGCCTCTAATATTTGCTTTTCTCTTTCATTTCTGTGTTGTATGTAGTATTCTATTTTCGTGATTGGGTCCTGTAAGAGAAATTATGTTATTGATTTGTAGTTTTATGTATAATCAACTTGCATTGTTGATGTGTTATGTAGCTATAGACTTAAACATCATATAACTGTCAAATATTGTTACAATACATTTTATTCATGCCGCTTTGAAGAAAATATAAATATCACCGGTTACCACCAGGCAAGATGGTGGCCCAACGCCATCCTATTTACATTAAAAATAAAATATCAACTAAGATTATGCTACTTTTATAGATATAACTGTCTTACTGTACTGTACTTATGATTGAATTAATAGTTATTTTTATAACCAGTGCTAACATAATTGTGTAACTAATGACTATATCCTTGAACTCTGAATAATTATTATGTTGACATTCTAAAGAAAAATTACATGCAAGACAATGTGTGGTGATAAAATTAGTTTTAGAATTATTTGTTTTTTGCATATTAGTTGCAGTAATACATAAATTTGTAAAACTACATCATACATTCCCTATTTATGAGAGTCCAATGCTTTGTCTATAGGCCTTCTCTACCTAAGAAGACTCTTATCCCTAACCCTAGCAGGATAGGATATTAACAAATTACCACAGTTTAAAAATTTGTAACACTTACATCAACAACATTCCCATGTCCTGGATAAATAACACCAGGTGCCAAGTTTAGTATTTTCTTCAAACTAAGCATATAGCTGTACAGGTCTTCGAACACAGCAGTGCCTTCACCAAGGATACAATCTCCGCTGAACAGGATATTCTCCTCGAGCAGTGTAAGTACTACATGATCGGTAGTATGACCTGGTGTGTGATGGACCTTTAAAGTAGCCCCTTCAACCTTCAACTCCTGGCCATCTACTAACCAGTTCATAGGTATGACAGGTGGTATGTGATCTTTTTCATCATCTTGACTCCTTGGATGCTTCCATATTTTTGGTTCAGCTGCAAATTCAACATTTAGTTGGTAAAATGCTAATTGATTCAAGATTTTTAGATTCTAACTAGGTATAGTGTCATGGTCATACTATAAACTAGTGGTGCAAAAAAAAATGTAATAAAATTATTAATAACCAGTGTTAATCGGGTTAGTATTAGATAGCAGTAATAGTATTTTTACAGTTTTTTCAACACACCAAGTCCTTAGAAACATGTATACTTACTAGCAATTTTGCCATAAATATTTTCAACTCCTCCGATATGATCATGATGCCAGTGGGTCACAATAATATGCTCTATATTGACCTGCTCTTGGTTTACCACCTGTGCCAAGTGCTTCTGGTAATCTTGTACATTTTTATCACCAGTATCTACCAGAATTCGACTGAAAACAAGATAATGAAACTCGTTGTTTAATAAAAAAAAAATAGATGAAAGATCATAATTTATCTGTGGCGTACTTTATTCAATAGTGAAGTGATTAGATTTAAAAGTTAATACTCACTTTTTACCAGTGCCTATTAAGTATGTATTAGTGCCTTGAAGAGTCATAGGGCCTGGATTACATCCTAGAATTCTAATAACACTATTAGTTAGTTTAGTTACGGCTGGGATAGTTGGACCCATGTCTGCTCAAGGTTTTAAAAATTGTAAAGTAATGATGACTGAGATAATAGGGATTAACGACACAATTGACACAGACAAATTATAATTGTTTAACTTGTTTTTGTAATATAATTATTAGTCAAAGGCTATGTTAATGTTTAATACACAATACCGATATTAAATATTTATGAGTAACAATAAACTTATGAACATTTTTACATAATTTAAAAAATCTAAACTCGCTATTTATCAATGGACTTTGACACTTGACAGTTGACAATGTTGACAAGTGATAAAGGATAAAAATGTTATCTCGGTGGTCATCATCGTTCTAAAACATCTTCAAAAACATTATTATAAGACGATTTCTTATTACATTAATAAAAGCAATTATTTTAGTTATGTTATAAAATAATAAATTAAGACTATTATAATTTTTTGCAGTTTTCTTGAGTTATTTTAGTTCACATAAAATTCTGAGTAAATGGGAATGTTTTCTTTTGTGTTTCCACTTTATAACTAATTCCCCTTGATTAGGAAGTATTAGATGTATAATTTAGTACTTTTGCTCATAATAGCGATCAAATACTCAATTTAAGTAAAACAAATGTCTACCTTCATTACTTCGCGTTAACAATTTTTAACAATTTTTAATCTTTTAAAAAACTTCGTGTTATATTTTTTCTTATTGCAGAGCAAGTTTAAAAGGCAGACTCATGGACGTATTGGCAGACTTGACTCTTTCATCTGACAACAATTTTTGTTTGAATTTTGGGATTGTCAGTATTGTCACATTTGACGTTTTCTGAAAAAATGGCTGGTGTGCTGGCGAGAGTAATTCAGAGGACTAAGCCACAATTGGGTACTTAATTAATAACAGAATAGCTTTAGAAGAATCTTATATATGCCACACAAAGTTATATGAACATAGGATGGCTGTAGAAGAACTCAAGTAAATGTTGTTGTTACGATGCGCAGTGTGTGACTTACATAATTTTTGCGTTTCTTTTTAGGCATTATTGGCCCTTTGGTGAGCATCGGTAATAGTAATGTTGCTGTTGTACGGTTCCAAAGCGCCGACGCTGCTCCTCAGGGCAAGCAATGTGGTGCACCACTTTCTGACTGCGACAGAATCTTTACGAACTTGTACGGGCGTCATGACTGGAGGTTGAAGGCAGCTATGGCTCGCGGAGACTGGTACATGACCAAGGAAATATTGCTGAAGGGCAACGCTTGGATTATCAGTGAGTATTAGCTGATTACAATAATATACAGATCTTGTAATATATGTAAAATTCTGAATGTATTTGGTGGAAACTCTATAACAATCGTAAATCTAAAGGTTCACATTGACCAAATAAACAGGAACTAAGGTTTTCTTATTCATACAAATTTTCAATGACTGATATCAACACTCTAGACCTACTAGTGTATTTGATATCATCATTTTAAAATAAAATGAAGTCTATTAATCGTAACCTCCAATAAAAATTGTCCCTATTTCATGTTAACATGTTAAAATGTTCAAAATGAGTGATGAACACAATAATTACTACTATAGCTTCCCAAGAAACATTTATTACTTAGGTAGTTTAAATATAATGAACTCAATCTGGAGTGAATGGTATCAAACAAGCAAATAGAGGTTGTTCAAAAACAATTTAACACAGCTGATGTTAATTGAATTACGCTAATAATGTTTTGAAAACTTGCTAATGGAAAGGTAATTATTTGTGACTGTTACACAACATTTAATAATTAATTCAATTAAGTAAATCAACAGTAAAAATATTGTTATTTTAGATAACAATAGACCTAATTAGGAAAGTTAAAGTACTAAGAGTGATCTCGCATGAAGAGATTACAAGAAGTACCTATGCCTTATGTAATTGTCTCAATATACACTGCACTTTTGTTCCAGAAGAATGTTGACTCAAGAATAAGCGTAACTTAATTTGGAATTACTTTCCTTAGTCAAAATATATTATTTCGCCTTTTCATGTATTGAATCCTTACTAATATTATAAATCGGAAAGTGAGTTTGTTTGTTTGTTCCGACTTCACGCCGTAACTATTAAACCGATTGCATTGAATTTTTGCAGACGTAAAGTTAGTAGTCTGGATTAAATAATAGGGTACTTTTTATCCCGGAAAAATTTGATATTCCCGAGGGAAAACAAAAGTATTGGTATAGATGGCGCTGTATGTATTGGTATGTCACATAGGCTACTTTTTATCCTTTTGTGACGCGAGCGAAGCGGCGGGTAAAAGCTAGTAATATATAAAATCTTAAAAAGTTATCACAATTGATTTTATGACTAATTTAATTTTAGTATTTTTCCAGCAAATTTTATTCATAAATAATATTATTGTTCTTTGATGCTAAAAAACATGACATCACAATACACAATCTCATCTCATTCAAAATTCATATTAAATTGCCATTTTTTGACAGTTTGAAAAAAAATATTGAATTTGACTAGTTGGCAAATATCCCATTAGCTTTATCCAATTCCAGATTCTTACTTTAATAACATACATCCCAATTGACACAAAAAACCTATAATTCCAGATGAGCTCAAGGTGTCAGGTCTCCGTGGTCGTGGTGGCGCCGGTTTCCCCACTGGTATGAAGTGGTCTTTCATGCAGAAGCCTTCGGATGGTCGTCCTAAGTACCTTGTAGTAAACGCTGACGAGGGAGAGCCTGGTACATGCAAGGACAGGGAGATCATGAGGCATGATCCTCATAAGCTGGTGGAAGGTTGCCTGATTGCTGGCAGGGCTATCGGAGCCATTGCTGCTTACATCTACATCAGAGGAGAGTTCTACAATGAAGCCAGTAATCTCCAAGTTGCTATTGCTGAGGTGAGCTGTGTACAGATTCGGGAGCCAGTTCTAATGTTTCTTTTTCTTTTACGTAATCCCACACTAGGTTTTTCTCCCGTATCGTGGGTGCATTTACAAATACGAGTTCACATACACATAACTTCCAGACCCGAAACCACAATTTGTGAATTACTCAAAAATTTGCTTCGTGCGGGAAGCGAACCCGCTATACGTTGCGCGGCAGCCGGTAACCGCGCAACGTGTAGGTAGCGGGTGTGTGTCCGTCGTAGAAATTGTCGATCCTTCGGGGCCGTTTAAAGATGGGGGCCCTGGGAACAGACCCCCGAGTGCCCTTATGGTAAAGACGGCACTGTCTATAACAAAGACTTAACCTAGATGAAAATTCCTGATGTATAAAGTTATAGGTCCTTGCAATGACGTATCACTAATGATGTGCTTATTATCTTATGCAGAGGTACGAGATTGTTTTGCGTTTAACGTAATCGAAAAAGACGAGACCGCGTTCGGCGATTGCGCTCTGATTGGCCGGCTCAAATGAACCAGCCAATCAGAGCGCCGAACGCGGTCTCGTCTCTACTAAGTCCTCTGATCATACAATATAGCTTATGCTCAAATACCCTCCTACTTATTCGGGAGTAAGATAAAGACATGAACTTATGCAAGAAACTTTATTTTGTCTGGAAGTATCTTTTTCACGGTTGACGCGGTGGCTGGGCAACCGGCTACCGTGCAGCGTGGCGCGTTTTTGATTCCCGGACGGAACACCACTTTGTGTGATCTATAGATCCATTGTTGTTCAATAACTCAAATGAAATTAAATGTAAAACATTTTCATTCCAGGCCTACCAAGCAGGTTTGATTGGTAAAAACGCGTGCGGTTCTGGCTACGACTTCGACGTGTTTGTGCACCGTGGCGCTGGAGCATACATCTGTGGCGAGGAGACAGCACTCATCGAGTCTATCGAAGGCAAGCAGGGCAAGCCACGTCTAAAGCCTCCGTTCCCCGCTGACATCGGTCTGTTCGGATGTCCCACAACTGTCAACAATGTTGAGACTATTTCCGTGGCACCTGTAAGTATTTCAAGATATCTTTGTTTTTGATGTAAGATTACATTCATCCTCTTTTATGTAGAATGTTACTAAACAAAATTTCTTCTTTATACTATTCCTACTTTGTAAAAATAGATTTTTGTTTTTTTGAACTTTGAAGTCTGTGTGTTTTGTAAATTATTAAGGGAAAATGAAGTATAGACTTATGTTTATGGCCCGAAAATAATTACTAAGACATTTAATTGAAAATTACGATTCCATACAAAACATGGTTGGTTAATTTTACCTCCAAAACAAATAAACAAGACGTACAGACAAAACCCTAACTTTCCAGACAATCTGCCGTCGTGGTGGAGCTTGGTTCGCATCATTCGGCCGTCTCCGTAACCAAGGCACCAAGCTGTACAACATCTCTGGTCACGTGAACACTCCCTGCACCGTCGAGGAGGAGATGAGCATTCCTCTCAAGGAGCTCATTGAAAGACACGCTGGTGGCGTCATCGGAGGCTGGGACAACTTGCTGGCCGTTATCCCCGGTGGTTCATCTACACCTCTTATTCCTAAAAGGTAAGTAACATCTTTAGCATTATTTTAAGTTTTATTTTCTATTATAAATTTTATGTGAGAATTGTAGCAATTGGCGTTCCATAGTCTGCCTGCCCTATGTGTATTTTCCATTATAAACAATGCGAAGGCAATTGAACAGGCAATAAATTTTGATCTGTTCATAGTTTGAACAATCAATACGTTTCATGAATTTAATCTGAGATCTCATACTTTGTTTGTATTGTGCTTGCAACAACTCTGGCTCCAAAACGAGTCCGAATATCAGTAACATACATAATAGTCAAAAAGGTGTGCCTTAGAGCGCCAGATTCTGCGATCATTATTTATTATTATTTATTTATATAAATAGAATGGTACAGAAACTAATTACACTGTTCAATATTATATAGAATTGACTGAAACTTATAGCCAATTTAACCCTTTAATCCAATCCACTAACTGCATTATAGACCTTATTTCCGATGTTTAGAGACTACTTTTGTATGAACAAATTTAGGGTACGATATTTCAACAAAATAATAGTAATCTAATATTTCCATTAATATCAACAATTCACTTCAAATATTTAAACTGTCAAAGACCAAGCGGTCACCGGTGACCGCGACCTATTGTTCTATAATTGTGTCTTTTTTATATAATTTAATTTACTGTTTCACAGTGTATGCGACACAGTGCTAATGGACTTCGACGCCTTAGTAGCAGCGAATTCGGCCTTCGGTACAGCGGCCATCATCGTGATGGACAAGTCCACAGACATCGTGAAGGCTATCGCTCGTCTCATTATGTTCTACAAGCACGAGTCCTGTGGACAGTGCACGCCCTGCCGTGAGGGAGTGTCCTGGATGAACAAGATTATTTACAGGTATAAATTCCTGCTAAATTTGGAAGTTATTGCAAACCTTCTTATACATATAGAGGAGACCTATAGTCCAATAGTGTGGGAAAGCCATGCTAAGGCACGAATGGGCCGGCTCGACAGTACCGATACCACGGCCGAGCAGAAAACAGACGTGAAACAACGCGTTGCGTTTCATCGTGTGAGTGAGGTTACCGAGGCCGGATTATCCCCCTCCCCCTTCCCCAATCCTTGAATTCGTACAATCCTCAAAAGGCCGGTAACGCACTTGTAACGCCTCTGGTGTTCCAGGTGTCCATGGGCGACGACGATTGCTTGCCATCAGGTGATGGGACTGCTCGTTTTCCGACTTATTTCATAAAAAAAACTGTATCTATCAAGCTGATGATAACGTATTGATTCACAATTTCATGATGTAAAAATTTTGCCAAAATGTGCACATCGTTTTAATGTAACTACTGCTAACACTATTCTAGTGTCAGCTCATAATAATACTTGCTACAATCCAGTAATCGAACCTCAAAAGTCTCATTTCGTAATGAGGCAATATTAATGGATCATGTAACAAGAATTATCGACATTACTTAAAAGTTAATTTATTGTATTCATCTTTCATAATGTTTTGAAATAATAATAATGAAGCTTTTAATAGTAGTTATTTATTATGTAGATAGGCAACATTTTTAAGTATTGCGCTAGGATTTTAACTTATTGCAATTTTCACGTGAAAATGTCAATTTTCTTACAGAATGGTCGACGGAAATGCTTCGCCTAAAGAAATCGACATGTTATGGGAAATCTCCAAACAAATTGAAGGTAAGTAACAATTATTTAATTACTAGCTTCTGCCCGCGACTTCGGACGCGTAATCCCATTTTTTCCCGTCCCCATTCGTGATTTTCGGTAAAAAGTAAAAAAAAAATTCGTCAAAAAGTATCCTATGTCGGTCTCCTGGTTCTAAGCTACCTCCCTACCAATTTTCAGCCAAATCTATTCTGCCGTTCTTGAGTTATAAGTGGTGTAACTAACACGACTTTCTTTTATATATATAGATAGATAACATCGTTATAAGTAATTCGGTGAAGTCAATAATATTTGATCCGACTCAAGAATCGAACTTGAGATACCTAGCTCGGTAGTTGGGGTTTCCATCAGTCCACCACTCTACTGTTTTCTTAAGTAACCTAAAGTTTTTATGATTAACTAGCTGTTACCCGCGACTTATTCTGCGTAGAATCCTGTTCCGGGTCTGGGTGTCATGTGTATGTGAACTTGTATGTTTGTAAACGCACACACGACACAGGAGATAATCCTAGTGTGGGGCAACATGTTTTTTTTTAAACTGTCAAACACCAAGCGGTCACCGGTGACCGCGACCTATTGTTCTTTAATTGTGTCTATAAAACCGGTACTCGACGAGTTAAAGTAGAAACAAACGATATGTTATTCCTATTTTATCCCATGGGAGCATTTAATCGGGATAAAACGTATCCCATCACTTACATAAGTAAGTCATCAAAATCCGTTCACTAGTTTCAGCGTTCAAGTTCCATTGACGGACAAACGTCCAAACAAAGGAACTTTTATATTTATAATATTAGTGTGATGTGGGGATTAAATATTATCTAAAGATAACAAAATAATTACGTACTCTGCTAACTGTTACGTTCATTAATTTATTATTATGTTGCATCAAGATGAAAGTCACATTAATTTTTATTATCAAGATTAGCACATCCTGTATGTGTACAATTAGGCGGAAAAATTCAAAGTATATACTTAAATATTAATCAAACATAACATAACATCACTCCTTTTATCCCCGAAGGGGTAGGCAGAGGTGCACACACAAGTAACACCCACTTTTCACTATTTATGTTATGAGTCCCATGTAATAGGGGTTGCCATATACCGGGCACATTGCCAGACTCCGTGCTACTACTGAGATTATTTAAAAAACCCAGTAATACTTTGCGCGATCCTGGAATCGAACCCTAGACCCCTTGCCCGGCAGTCGGACTTGCGACCAGTCGGCCAAAGAGGCAGTCTGACTGATTATGACGATGATGATAAATCATGTTATTAAGAACCAACTTATGAATAAATCTATTTTATTATCCCCAGGTCACACAATCTGCGCGTTAGGAGACGGTGCAGCGTGGCCCGTACAAGGCCTTATTCGACACTTTAGGCCTGAGCTGGAGCGCCGTATGGCGGCCTACGCCTGTGTCTGCGGGCCAAGCAAGGCCGAACGACTTTACTAGTTATAGCCGACTAACAACTTGACACTGAAACCATCTTGCAGTGTGTTGAGATATACAGAACACATTATGTATTAAATAGGGGATGAACCTGTACAAACATTTATTTTATTATAATAAAGTTTATTATGTTACAATTATGTTTAAATCAAATTGTTCGACGTCCATGTCCAATTTTTATAAGTTTTTATTGTTAAATAGACGTATTTGTGAGGTCCTCTTTGATTTTCCAGATCGAATTATTTACGAAAAGATACGTAATGAAGAATTTAGTATTCTTCTATAGTTCTATATTTCACAACATGTTGCAATGTCGAAATTAATTGTACATAGTGACGTCATAGGCTCGCAGATAACGTGTCACTATCATTATTTATTATTTTTATCTAATTTTCATTTTAGTTTCCATACATTTTCCTCTTATTTCTCTTAAGAGTATTTGTGTCTATGTGATAATCGATAATTTTTTAAACATTTAAAAGTACAATCGACCAATTGTTTAGAACCATTGGCACCTATAATTGTTTACATACAGACTCGCGGTTGTTTGTCCTTTTGAGATAGACAGAAACCACGTAACTTAAAATGTACCTATTACGCTAGCCTGTGAAATCTTATTTCACCACAAATAAATGATTAAATTAATTTAAAAATTATATTAATAATGACTAGTTACAAATATTTCACCACCTTTGTCATTAAGCGGGAATTTCGTCGATTGTACAAAATATTTTCATTAGATCCCTATTTATATTTCTTGCTATGTAAACTAGGATTCGTATATACATGTATATATATGGCTTATTATATATTTCCAATCTGTGACTCTCGCCGTTACTGTCAGCACACGGGTGATCAAGTAATTTAGTTAATTTTGTATAATATTGTAATTAGAAAATAAATGTTCTGAGAATTATTTTACATTGTTTCTTTTACTTCAATCCTTACATATATAGTTTTTAAATATCTCTTTAGTGTACAGAATTTCTACTTCTTTCTACAGTTTTCTACACTAATATTATAAGAAGAAAGATTTGATTTTCTGTTTGTTGGTATAGAATAAGGTTTATTAACATCTTAAAATATTGTATGGATATGCACAAACTATGTGTAAGTTTTGAATTATGGAGGGGTCAAAAGTGGCACCAAGTGGTTCATTTACACTCAGCGCTGGTTAGCCAGTTCCTTTGCTTGAACTTGGCTTGACACTCTGCCGCGTGTCTAGATATTGTAAAGTGCCTATACCTACCTATCTTCTTTTACATAAAGGTCCCTAAGGCTCCCTCACCGGAAGCATTCGCGTATAATGTAACATAGATTCGACTTTGAGTACCTTAAACTGTCAAACACCGAGCAGTCACCGGTGATCGCAACCTATTGTTCTTTAATTGTGTCTATAATGACTGTACTCAAAGAGTTAATATAATCTTTACCAGATTTTATGCCAACATATATTAATCATTTTTGATAAGGTTCATTATTCAATATCCAACTACTCGTATGCTAATGCTCAAATTTTTGTTTATCGCTTCGACAGGATATTAATTAGGTATAGGAAAACTCCAAATTAAAAGAAGTTTGTTATTTTTAACCATATCTTACGCAGACACCAATTTTAACAATCTCTAGTCTATTATGAACGATACTGAGAACAATGTTTTTATCAGGGAATCTACCTATTTTATGTCAAAATTTATCTAGAGGTATAAATGTACAGTACAAACATCAATATACCTTTTATATATGATTATTTATTTGTAGTACTGAACACATCTTTATGTAGAAGATAATATGTAAAATCGATAAATATGTTTCAGTCTTTCACGATGACTGACTTCTATTGTAATACAATAGAGCTGATAATGTTTTGAAGTTTTATTTTAGCACTGATTTCAACATACATACATATCTTCACCACTGTCTCGCATGAGAGTAAGCAGAGACTATGGAATGCCAAATGCTACGATTCCTACATACCTCTTTCGCTTCATCAACAGTCGTCAATATGTTCATGCATGCTTGTCGGTTAAGGGTACTTTTAATTTAGCCCTTCTTTAATATATCGCCAATTTGGTCAGTATATGTTCGTCTAGGGCGCCCTCTACCGATGGCCCTATTCCTATCCGCTTCTTTCGTTACTCTATTTTCATCTAATATCCTTTCTACATGTCCAAACCAGCGTAACATTCCGTTTTCAATCCTTGTCACTACATCATCTTTCAATCCGTTCTCTAATAACACTATTTTTCACTCGAACACTCAATTTTACTGATTTCAACTTAGCTTTAAATGGATCATCGCAAAATATATCTAATGTGGAAACTGAAAAGGTACAAAACACTAAATTTATTAAAGCCAATACAGACAACTTGTGTTTACCTAAATAGAAAGGGAGTCGAAAAGATTGCCCTAGGAGTTTGTCGTTTACGACTGATAAAATAAATGTATTATTTTGTAAACAACTCATTAAAAATCACTTATAGATACCCGAAATAGATATATTTTTGAACAATTTTGCTGAAAATTGATATCATTCATGATATAACAGACAGTTGCTTGAAAGATTATGTTTTATTCTGTATGTAATCAATGGATAAGGTACCTATCAATAATTTTCAGAGGAAGGTGGCACTATATACCTAGGTGTCTGATATCTACCTGCGTAATTTTGCACATGGCACTCGACGCTACCTAATAGGTACCTATTTATCTGGAAATGGTATGATAGTCTGACCTTATCTCGCATTATCCGAAATAAGCAGTCATGCTGACTAGTCTTGTCATCATTAAACAATAGGTGCAGGAAATTGTGAAATTCTAGATTCTAGATTGTTTAGATTGGAACGTTAAAGAAACATTGTAACAAGTTTTTGTAGTTTGAGTCATAAAGCAAGCAAGCAATGGACGCCCTTTGTTAGTTCTAGATCTCAAAAATTATGAAATAGCTACGTTTTCACAATATTCTGAAATACTATCACAATCTAACGATCTTGTTCATTGCTCCTTGCTAACGATTAATTAAATTAGTTAATATTAAAAACCAATTTTAAAATTTTGCTCGTTTTGCGTAACGAAAGCATTTTTAAAAGTGATTTGATCTACTTCACAAAACAGACAAGCGTCAGAATAAATCTGTATGATTTGGACTCTGTTAGGCTTTATTACTCGTCGCGGAGAACTCTGTAACGGGTAACAGGGGCTCCGGCTCGACGTGCAGGAGAAATAACGGGGTGGTTTTTAGTCAGTAAGAGTCTAACACTCCCTCCCGCCTCACCCAGGCGGGAGCAGTCATATATTTTTAAACGATGACAAAGAAAGTTAAAGAATTGTACCAATATGTGTCGTGTGCTGTATATTATGTATTTGACCTATACATACTGTTATTGTTTGTTACTGAGTAATAAAACCTTTTTTTTAAGGGGGGAAAATCATCGAATGACTTCTCCTGCCCGGGCGAGGCGAGAGGGGGTGTCAGAGTCTTACTGACTAAAAACCACCCCGTTCCTACTCCTGCACGTCGAGCCGGAGCCCCGGTAACCTTTTACATTCTCCACGGCTCTGTACCTCATGGGTGTAACAATTGTATTATATACTAGCTTTTAACAGCGGCTTCGCTCGTGTCACAAAAAAATAAAAAGTAGCCTATGTGACATACACCAATACACACAGCGCCAACTATACCAATACTTTTGTTTCCCTCGGGAATATTATTAATATTCTTATAATTCATTAATTATCATTTTTCCGGGATAAAAAGTACCCTATTATTTAATCCGGTAGAAGTCCGGTAGAATTCAAAGCAATCGGTTAAATGGTTACGGCGTGAAAGCGGAACAAACAAACAAACAAACAAACTCACTTTCCGATCTAATAATATTATGTATAGTAAGGATTTATAAGAAACAGGAGCCGTTTTAAGTGATATTTTCTTGAATGGCGATGTAATCCATTCATCAAAAACTTATCATATCACGATCAGTTTGGACGGACAAAATAAACAACATACTTATGTATTTGTTATGTAAGATTAAGTTACACGTTCCTGTAAGATATTAGAATTATCTATTCAGATAGAACGTCACGTTTTTCTTTGTTTCCAAGCCGCAAATAAATATTTAAGTACAAATTTCTAGGTACCTAAGTAAAGATTTTCAATTAATTATTATGTTCTCGGCTTTCTACTCCCGTAACTGCTTGACGAGGAACTCGACTAGTTTCAAGCCATGCTAGAGGCTCATATTCATGAGCAGCATTCGGCGATACAAGACATGGCGGCTGTCGCGCTGCTATGGCTATTGATTTAGTATGTCTCACGAAAGTTATAACATAAACAAAGATTTTCGACTTTATCAAGTTGTCATGAAGTCTACAATCTAATGAAAGTGCTGAAATAGAGACTTCTAGGTACTTTTGTTTTTGTTTATGCTTATATCACCTTACTGAGGGCAAATAAATGCCATAACAAGAACAAAGGGCAACTAATTTAGTACCAATATTCATTATCACCAATTCTGTATGATATTGATGATATTCGCTTATTTATCTATCATAATCACCGCTGCTAGATAGTAATTATTAGAGATAATTTCTCAAACAATAACTTATGGTATGTACCGAAATGTATTTTGCGCATACCAATCTACCTATCACTTGATAAACTTAATCAGAACTATCATAATATTTATTTATCGTTCATCCGTGTCTAGAGTACTGAATAATTATGTAAAATGCCAACGTGGCATCAAGAACTTTTAACATGGTACAATTAACCAGCTTTCTAGGTCCCGACGGATTTGTGATATGTCTCGTGGCCTGCCGCGGAGAACTTAACGGGTTGCCGGGGCTCCGGCTCGAAGTGCAGAAGTAGGAACGGGGTGGTTTTTAGTCAGTAAGAGTCTGACACTCCTTTGCGCCTCACCCAGGCGGGAGAAGTCATTCTATGATTTTCCACCCTTAAAAAAGACGTTAGGCCTACGATTACCGCTAACCATGAAGCGGGTCGT